TTTCTGAACTTTTTAAGGCTTTCGTTACCACACGGCTTCGTTAGGGAGACGAGACAGTTCATATTGGCAACTGAGGTTTTTAATATACAACTGTCTATTTCGCTCACACGGTTTACAAACTTGGTCGGATAGTTCCGAGGTAGAATTAACTTCGATTCCTAAATGAACTGAACCGGCAATTCGGCTTATTTCGGCCAAGGTTTTACCACTGTCGTAACGTTTCTTTTGCTTGCCTTAAATAAATAATTTCTCCGACGATATATAAGAATATAAGATATTTTCTCTATTGGCGTATTGCTCCGTATTTTAGTTTCAAAGCACACTTAAACAAACGACATATCATTTACATTTTCCGCGCTTGCTTTTCTACCTCTTGTAGTTATTCACCTTATTCGGTCCTGATTGAAACTTTCAATGGCGTTTCTTTCGACATATTTTTATACATTTGCAATTTTGCGACGAAACAATATAAACATAGTTTGACAGTTTGATTATTAATATATTTAGTGTTTGCTGATTGGCTAATTGGACCCGGACAAAAAAGTGGGCGGTTATCAAATTACACTGCCAAACCCAGCAGGCTGTATTTTAGACCGCCTGCCATGCAGGCTAACTTCGACACGGCTTTTGAGTTTTGTAACCGCCGAGGCGAAAGTAAATCATGCAGTCGGGAAAACGTGTTACTTTGAAAGATTATTTTGCAAAACATACTCGTACACACAAGAATCATAAAAATACAGCCTAGACCTTAGCCTGCTCACAGGCTCTATGGCCTGCGACTTTTATTGATATTTTTTCAATACGCCCCCTTTGAGATAATTGAATATCCGGTAAATAGTAGCCAATCAAAGCAATTTTTGTTAATTAGATTACCAGAGGTTATTAACAACAACAAACAGTTTCTCGCGCAATTTTACGTCTGTATCTTTCACTAGGATTCCAAGGTCTAAACTTTAATCTAAAATAATTCATGGTCGTTTTTTCCCTAAAGTGTTCTAATATTTAAAACATAGTCCCGTTTGTATATTGCTGTCTTGTTCGCACATTGCCGTTTTAAATTATGTAACTATACTACAGAGACGTAAAATTTTTACTCTATTAGTTAATGTATTTTATATATTTATATCCAAAATATAACTGTAAGATTTAATAATAAGCCCTTCACGCTTCACGCAAAACGTATAGGGGGCCCGATCACGTTTCACGGCTAAGTAAAATAAGCCCTTCACGCTTCACGCAAAAAGTATAGGGGGCCCTCTATTATTACGAAAGTCACTGAACTGTGGGATCGCATCAAAAATTCGTATCGCTGCCACTCCCACAAACGTCTACGATCGCACCTACATATTTTTTGCATGTTTACAATTCTAATTTTGAACAGCCAATCGACGTTTAATTGTAATTTTAATCCAAGAACAGGATTGGCTGTTCCAAATTAGAATTGTAAGCATGCAGAAATATGTAGGTGCGGTCGTAGACGTTTGTGGGAGTGGAGGCGATACGAATTTTTGATGTGATTCCACAGTTCGGTGACTTTCGTAATATAAAGAAGAAAACAAAATTACAAAATTACAAAGAACTTAAATCTTTACACTTTTATTGTTCTCAACGAATTTGTTACATACACTTATAATAGATGTTACTGTTAAAATAGTTACCGCGTATACCCTCGTTTTCTTCTTCAAATCTCTATCGTTATTATTTTAGACGCAAACGAAGATTCAGATTTAGCACGGGCAATAGGACAGGTGTAGTGTTGTTAAATAGAAAGTTGGAAATGGTATTATACTTACTCATGCATTATAATTATGTTTAAAAGATCAGAATATTCATAACTTCTTATTTTGTTTCATAAATAGTTCTTTAATATTCGAAACAAATTCCATATCTGCTTCGTCTGCCATCGCCATGTTTACTCGTCCCAATCTACATGCTGCACGGCATTGCCGCCCCTCCTGGCAAATAATAGGCAAGCGAGAAAAATTAAGGAGAAAATAAGAGGGTAGGAACATTGTGGGCGTTTCGTGGGCGTGTCATCGTTCTGGGCGAATCAGCTTTCTCAATCTTGTATCACATGACTAATTCAAATCGTCATAGGCGGGAAGCAGCATTACACGTCATCCCTACGTCAAATAAAACGTTATAAAACGCGTCGTGGATACGTTTGTGCCATATATGGAAGTTATGGATACGTTTGTGCCATATATGGAAGTGTCACTGCATCCAGCTTATGACAATGATGTTCCTACCCTCTTATTTTCTTCTAATTTTTCTCGCTTGCTTATTATTTTGCCAGGAGGGGCGGCAATGCCGTGCAGCATGTAGATTGGGACGAGTAAACATGGCGATGGCAGACGAAGCATTCTCGTACCCAGAGCCCTTCTTACGCGCGTTCGACCGAGCACGACGAGGGGCTCTGGCCAAATCCATAACCGGATACCATAAAAACATGGTATCCGGTTAAACACTGCGCATGCTCAACGTCAAACGCGGATAAGCACTTCGGCTTTCTTGTTTGTTTCGTTTTGAAAGTTTTTCTCCAGGAAAACCCCACAAAAGCGGTAGGTTTCGCTAATTTTATTTATT